TTTTGACCCCCCCCCCCCGTGGACCCTGCTGATTCAAAGGCTTAATAAATTCTGATTTTTGTTCTTTCTGTGTCAAAACACTGATTACACTTCAGATTTAGTCACTTCCCTATTAGCTTTGGAAAACGTGTTAGGATGTGGTGGTATCAAATGTATCCTTTCTTTTCTGCAACTAATACATGGTTCATACCTAGCCCTGCTTTCATGAGATAATAGTACAAGTAATGTACAGAAAGATGTATTTATGTACATTACTTGTAGCTTTGCTGACAGCATCCTAAGTTCATGTCCAGACAGTTGTATGGCTGGCTAGCATTTCTGCTTAGCACATTCTTGGCAGTGTGGGTATTCCAACAAGGACAGCTTCTCCTCACTTCACCTTTGTTTTTCACAGTTGGATATTCTCTCTCTATAACACTCTTTGTGAATGGTAAGGAAAAAAAACTGGCTGAATTCATATAACACACTTAACACAAGCATTTGCAAATCTTGTGGTTTCATGACTCTCTAAAATGGCAAATGAATTTGTGAACCCCCTCCCTTCATGAATAAATAAAATAACAAGCACCTCCTTGGTAGCAGTGAGTGTGCCAACTATCTCTTTAGCACTGAATGGGTTCCTCATTATCAGTCATTATCCCCTTTCTGTATGAAGAGGTGGAACTCTTTCAGAACTTGGTCCTGTTGCTTCCTTCTGAGAACAGTACAGTACAATCTTGCACGTGCAAAATGAGAACTCTCACAGGGCTTTGACTTTGCAAGCATAAGGTTGAGCCAGCCAGGGAGCTACTCTCTGTTCTAGACAGAAACACACCTTCCCGTTCCCTGTTGATCTGATGTGTTTGCTGTTGGCTATTTGGCTGCCCCCACATAAGAGTAGTACATCCTTGCAACTCCTGCATGCCAAACAAGTGGGGAAGTGTGAATGCCAGTGTCTTCTGGACTTTAGCCTTACGGATGCAAAGATGGAGTTTTACAAGAACTTGGTCCTGTTCTTCCTAGTCAGTTTGTCCAGGCAAAGCAGGTCTGAGTTCTCACAGAATTTTGCTTTGCATACATGATACCTCCACCCCCACCTACAACTATCCTCAGATTTGGGGCTTATGACACAGAGTTTGAAAACTTTTACCTCAATGCATGGAGATTGAAATCCCCCAGTACCATATGCCCAGAATCCTTAATGCTAGCTTTGAGACAAGATCAAGAAGACTAGAAATGCTATCAGGTAGCAGGGTAAGCTATACGTGAGAAGCACCTCTAGCTTGTCCTTAATACCTTCAGCTTTAATTACAGGAGCTGCACCTAATTGTTTGCAGAGCAGGACATCTGACCACCTTCAAGGTTTCCTATATTATAGAGGTATATAAAAAACCATGCACGGAATGAATAATGTTACATTGAAGTTTTTCTCCCTTTCCCCCAATTCTAGTACTTGAGGTCCATTAAACTAAATGCAGGGGACCAATAGAAATACCTTTTCACACAATGCATAGTTAAATTGTATATATTGCTAGCAACTTGCATGATTTAAAGATAACTGGAAATGTTCATGGAGGATACTGGTTACTGGAAGGTGACAGGAAGGGGCTATTTCTTCCTAGTCTTGTGAGTTTTGAAAATGAATGTAGCTGGCCACTCTTGTGACACTGAATGCTGGGACAGATGGATGTATGGGTTCAGTTCTTATGTTTTTATGAGAGAAAAGGATGCTGATTACTTCTGGTGAAAGGCAGGTCAAAACCCCCAACTATTCAGGGAAAACCTGAAAAGAAAATTCTATTTTCTAAGAGAGAATAAGCAGTGTTAATTACAGTTATTGAAACTAGGTCTTCTGCATTTTAGATTTAGGCAGTGGTGGAAAATTGTTTTTCAAATCCTGCAATTTATGTTTGATTCTTCCCTTTTTTCCATTCCCCTTTTGACAGCACTCATTCCAATTTTTTTTTTTTTCTACTTTCTTATTCTCACAGATACCATGTTGTATCTTGTTAGGGAAAAATGTTATTCAAGATGAAACTGAGTCTGTAAGGTCTGTGGAGGAGATAAACATACTGTATAGTTAGGAAGACTATCATGCTTAGCTTGTTCCCTAGATGTACAGTACTGGAATTCCACTTCCAGAATTCTTCACCAGGCTGCCTGTTGCCATGCTAGCTGAGAATTCTGAGAAGTAACAAGCATGCACTATTTTCCAAAAGCGACCCATCCCTGCATGACCTATCTCCAATTAGCCCTAGAAGATACAAAATTGGTGAATCAGACTTGGCTATATTTCTGAACAGTGTGTAGATGGGTTAGACATTCAATTTTTACTATAAATGTTTATAGTAGGCAGGCAGAATGTCAGAAACTAAAAACTGAATGATGTAGGCCATCAGAATGGATACCTCAAGTCAACTTTTGATGAAAGTGTAAAGTTCTTCAGCCAAAATAGGTATATAATTAAGCAATAAGGAATGGAGCGCCTATACAAGCAAAGGTGTAGAGGAGCAAACTATGCTAATGAGCCATAAACATTCTGCTGGTTTGTTATTTATTAACACTAATTACCGAAGTCAATACCAATTAAAGTATTTACAGACCTCACACCAAAAATGTCCATGTGACAACCGTAATATAGTTATATTGTAAAAACAACAGCCATGGTCACAACAGTAAAGGATGTTTTGTTAACCAATGTTTAGATTTACTAAAAAGCAAAGTTACACTAATATTTTAGTAAAATTACAAGTATTTGAAAAGTGCATGACATCTGAAACAAAGTTGAAAATAAGTCCACTTTTTAAATAAAGAAACAAACATTAGGGCATGGGACAAATTGTGATTGATATCCATTTGATTGCCACAACAAAAATAACTTTTCACTTTAATATTGATTGAAAAGTGAGAAGACTCCAATTCTAAAAGCTGTAATAAATTTTTCTTCATTTTAGGAAATAGGTCTTTACCAAAGTGTGGGAGTTTTTACCTCTCACCAGCTATGAGCAAATTCCTCTTACCTCTCACCAACTATGAGCTCATCTTTTAATATATACTGTGCTTACTATTATACTTTAGCAGTAACATAGATAGTTGTTTGAACAACAACAGAAATACTCCTTAAAGAATTAAAGATTCTATATGAATCTTGGATTTCCAACTATCCACAAGCAAAGAACTGTACTGAGGAAACACAAGACACACCTGACTGTACATTACTTATGTTAAAGGTTTATCTTGTAAATGAAAGAATGCTGATTAGTAATTAAATTAGCAATTTCATCAGTTTAGCAATTGATTTGATGATCATGTGTACACAACACACTATGCAGAAAAGAAAAACAAAACCCTAGCCCTTTCAAAACAAGTTGTAGAAAAATTCATAGTCACAGTTGCTTTCATAAGCATTTTGAGAAAGGGCAGTGTGGAGCATCTAAATTGTACAATATAAAACATTGTAAGTAATGTGGCTGAAAACAGAAGCAGAGTTCTTTAAAAACAAACAGTGCTTCCTTTACAAGTGATTTCTTTTAAAATAGGTGAATACTCTAGTCAGAGAACTTCTGAAGATCACTGAAGCCATTGTGATACAACCCAATTCAAGCCTCTGATGAGCTGAATGCCATTTGCTACAAGATCTAGATCATTTTACTTTGTATGGACATTTCACTGTGGGCATTTGTAATGAGATCCATCTGTCAACAGTCTCCTGAACTGCAACAAAGTCTCAACCATTGCTAACAAAGGTAGAAAAAGTTCTGTCTACTGCTACCACCTGCATTCCCCCTTTTTGTACTGGATTGTGCAGGTTTTGGTAATGAGATCCATCCATTTTAATTTTATCTTTTGTTCAACTGGCTTGCTCACAAGATGCAATTTTTTTTTTCTGACAGGCTTTTGCAGTTGGAAAATATCCTACAGTTGTCACTGTCAGTCAAATTAAAACATCAGCTTTCTTTTTTTGCTGCTTCCTCCTGGGCTTCCCCGGTTTGTTCAGTGGGATTTCTCTGTGCATCTTCTTCTCCTTCTGCAAGAAAGAAAGGTAATTTTTTAGTGAAAATAGTATGCACCAATGCAATTGAAGTTTGTATATTCCACTGTGTTGATATCTGGCAGATAAGACAGTCTGGGGTGGTTTTAAGCAACACTAACTTGTTACCTAAATTATATATTATAAGGACAATGAGATCCGAACTGTAAAGGCACTCTGCCTCTTAAGTAATACAGAAATGCTGCAGAAGACATTAGATGGGGCTTTATTATGTTAGCAGTGACTGGAAGGCATTTATTCTATTCTTTTCTTTATGAGCCCCAAAGAATGTAGCATCCCTCACTTTCTATCTACAGAAACTGATTTTAGTATTAGAAATAGGTCAGCTTCTGTAGTATTCCAGGGCAGCAAATTTACAAATGGACATAAAACAATGTGTGGTGTAGCGTGTATGTATGTGTTTTTATATTCATTCTCCCATACTTCACTATTGTGCCATATACCTCAGCATATCAGTTTGTCTAATGGTTGACTCTGAGAGGTACAAAGGGGATAGGCTATCATCTGTACCACTGTTCTTGCCTTTTTTTAAAGTAGCTAAAGTAGCTACACACACACACACAGATAGATCGTTCAGAAGCATTTTATAAGACATAACCAGAGGGATCTGGCAGAACTCTAAGTAGGGAGAAGTTACTAATTCAAATTGTGCTATAGGATCTCCTGAGTTAGCCTTGGCTTACGATCATTGCCTGTTGACCCTACTTAGCTTATAAGTAAATTTGCCTATAATCTCCACCATAGCCATGAAGCCTATTCTGTATGAGACACTTTGTCCCCTCTTCTGGAAATATGGACTAAACTGCTCTCATACAGCTAGGAAACATTGCATCAATTCATCACTGGAAGTGCATTTTTTAAAAATTCAGCAGTAACCATACTTATTCTAATATTGGCCTGAACAGCTTGTGACCCATCATATCAGCCAAAATTTACCAGTAATGTAATAGGCTTGACAGCCCTTGTAAAGCCTTTACCCTCTCCTTCGGCCTCTACAACTATAAAAACAAAGGACTCCTGAGGATTTAGCAGATGGACCATAGGTACACCAATTTAAAAAGATTTTATCCTTTCTAAGCTATGAAGTTTATATATATGTCAAGTATAAATTTAATAGTGCATAGACATTAAAACCTAATACACTGTTTTCAAGAATGATGCCTCTTATATAGTTTTCTTTGTTAAGAGATGGATGCTTACCAGTTTTATTTATATCAAGTTCCGATAACTTCAGGGATAGTTCACTAGAATTCCCACTTGTTGAAGACACAAGTATATCATGAAGAGCATTTCTTCTCCCAGTTCTTCCTGAAGCAATGAAATCTGCATATGTAGATTCCACATCAGTCATTGCTAACAGGTATCCTCATAGCAGTGTCTTAAAAGAAAACATACAGAAACACAGTCTCTTTACTGGAAAGAAGAAGGGCATGCAGTTAAAAGATAAATACAGAAATCTTCAAATATTTCTTAATATAAAACTGATATACTTGATTTACAATGGAATTTCACATGAGATGAAGGGTTTAGAGGACTTCTCAAGGAGGAAACTGGACATGAAATGGATTGTCATGCCTAAGCAAGAACAGAGCAGAAACAAAAATTCTGATTCTACCATATACAATTACCCTCAATGCTCCTAGTGACTATACTATTATAATCTGCCCTTCAAAATAAAAGCTGAGACTATCACAAAATAAGTGTCAAATTAAACAACATACTGTAAATGGTACATAAACAGTACCAAAACACACCAAAATAGGGGAATGCTATATAACTTACAATTTCATTGCCCAATTGCCTTTTAAATAAATAGTCGTTATTAGTTTTTAGAACATGGAAGATTTTGGCAGACCTTTGTTGGAAAAGGTCCACACTGATGATGATGCCGCAGCTGAAAAGATTGTCAGCCTCTCTTCATAGAGCTCACCTGAGAGGTGAACAGCAGTGGAAACCAAATCCCCTCTACAAACTACACTGACAGTTGTCTATAGAGGACAACAGAGCAGCATTCCTTGAACTGTATTCTGTGGAATGCCAATGTTCCTGAATAACTAGACAGAGTTCCACAAATTGGTCCAAGTTCCAAATGAAGCATTTATTTATTTAAATGTATATAGCTGCCCAGCAACTCTGGGTGGTTCACAAGTAAAAATAAGGGGGGAAAATACAATAATAGACAAAAATGAATAAAAAATGGCAAGGATGACAGAAAACTGGACAGGAACAAAAATATGAACCCATACAATCCAAATAAAAGTTTTGTGGGTTTGGGATCTTTTCAGTTTCACCAGCTAAAGAAGTACAGACCCCTATCTACAAATGAAGAGATGTTTGCATCTCTCTTCCCAGATACCACACTGAAAGAACTTAAGGAAAATAATATAATAGCGTTGGATCAAAAGTCCACAGGAATATAAGCTTTTAAATGAAGGAGCACTGAAGGTCCTATTCTTTTTTCTTCAACATATCTTGATAAAATTAGATTTTCAGTGTTCAATAATTCAATACAAATATTGAAATAGGCTGAATGTTATCCTGATTCTAGCAAATCTCCAGACTTTGGTGAAATATGCTGTCATTAAGATTTATAAACATATTAGCATTACATCATGTTTTATTTCAATAATCTTCCTCCCCTCCTTTTTAAAAATGTACATATATATGTTGATGCAGTCATTAGTCAGGTACAATAGGAGGGAATTTAAAACTGTATAATTTCCCAATATTGTTTTAATTGATTTTTCTCTTTTTTTAAAAAAAAATCAATATTTTTTCTTTTCCCTTTACATGTTTATGTGCATTTATCCTTGGAACAATAACAAATAGTGATGATATCAATATTAATATAATGTGTAGAATTTTATAGGGATTTCTTAAGATGATATAGTGA